GGCCGCTACTTAGCCTTGGACGACTTAATGGGTGCATTTCTCATGATAAACTAAGAAATTGACATTCTGGCTTCTGTGAGATCACTTAAGGTGAATCAGTCCTAAGAAGCAGATCACTTCAGGAAGGGCTGGCAAAGCTGAGTGCAGGAGCTGCCAAGCCATCGACCTGACCCTGCACCCCACCCAGAAGCTGGCCTCTTTCTCATCTTGCTGTAACTGCTACAAATATAAAAAAGACTATGAACCCTGCAGTGAAGTCTAATAAGAATCCATGGGCATGTTTAATCCATCTGTGTTAGAAACTGCATTTGAAATCATTTGCCTCAACCTTTACTTATAAACTCTTAACAATAGACTTTGGTGATCTAAAGTCTACTTTCTTTGTCATACACATTTTCATATTTTTCCTATGTGACCTATATGGTTAGGAACTTTATATCCAGGTGCAAATGATGAACATTTTAGAATAAACATACCTATAAAAGAGGAAGGCTATTGGAAATCCATTCTTCATGGACACATATTGCTATTTCACGACAATTTCAAGTCACACTTTATTTTTGAGCTGGAATTAATACTACAAGTAGATATTGTTGTTTCAATATATTCTGCAAAGGAAGGAGAGGGAGCATTTTCACAGCAGATGCTTCCCATTCCAGTGGGAATATGCAGAAGGTTTTTATGAGCCAGGTTCCATAAGCACACAGGGTAGGAAGCATAGACCATGCATTCAAATGAAAGATAAGAAGAATGTTGGTTTCAGGAATGCTGGAATTGAACTGGAGGATAAGAGCCAAGTCTCTGCCCCAGTAAAAAAGGGTCATAAAACCTGTAAGTGAGCAACCTCAATTTCCAAAATTAAGAAAAATCGTTTTTCAAAACGAGAAATGCTAAAGAGTACCAGATCTTTCTCTTCACTCTAATTGTTTAGAATGCATGACCTCATGACCTCATGCATTTTTATACCCACACAAGGACAGTGGTCAGTAAAAGAAACTGTAACATCACTTTTCTTGCTATTGCCTACCTTTGAGAAAATGAATGGAATGTTCACAATGCCATAAAAACTCCCATATAGGTACAGAGTAACAATAATAATGGGAGAAATAGATAAAATGAAAGAGAATATAATCTTTTCTCTAAAACACATAATTTGTTTTGTCAGTATCCATTCCACTGACAAATATATTGGGTAACTAGATGTTGGAAACAAAATCTTCATTGTTATATTTTTGTTTCCAACATCTAGTTACCCAATATATTTGTGTGTATATATAATACAATCCCCCAAGAGGCAAATAATTATCTTATTTTTTGAACTGTTGTACCTCCAGCACCTAGTATAGGGCCTTGGATATAGTAGGCATTCAGTACATTTGTTGAGTGACTTATTGGGTGTATTTTATACAGGGAAACCTGATACCATGATGAAAGTATGAGCCACTATCTATGCCTGCTTTCTGGTTCAAGTCCCAAAGGTAGGCCTGATTTGCTTGATGACTTAGAGAAAATGCCAGATTTTACATAGGGTGTCTCATGTTCTATTCATGCCTTTTCCTCTACTCTGTGCACAAGGAGTCTCTCTGTTTCTCCTGTCAGGGTCCCCATACTGCTATAAAACCTAGCTCAACAAGACTGCCTCTTGGAGAATTTTCATAATTAATCAGACTCAAATCATCCTCCTACTTTACCCTGTATATTCACTGTGAGTGATAGTAATTGACATGATGGAAACATTAGGAAAATTTTATCTAAATTTTTCTTAATATGTTTTTATTGATTTTCTAGAGAGAGGAAGGGATAGAGAGATAGAAACATCAATGAGACCAGCTGCCTCCTGCAGCCCCCTACTGGGGATTGAGCCTGAAACCCGAGCATGTGCCCTGACCAGGAGTCGAACCGGGACCTCTCAGTCCGTGGGATGATGCTCAGTCCACTGAGCCACACCAGCAGGGCTATCTAAATTTGTTGAAACTTTTCTTCTGCTCTTTCCTTTAGTTGTTATTTCTTGTGATATCCCACTCTTCACGCCTCTTCTTCCTGACTTATTATTAACACTCTCCAATCCCTCCTGACACCCAACCTTCTACTGTCTGAAATAAGACAGTTTCTCAAGATAGGTTGATAACTAACCCATAATCTTAGAATGTAACTCAAGATATTGTTGATATAAGAATACTGATCTGATCATCATGAGACCTCATTTCTAGAAAGAGCTCTGACAGTAACCAGTGTTGTAAACTTGGGCTACTCAATCTCTCCGAGCTTTCCAAAATCCCTAAAATCTGAGAGTTTGTCTAGGTTAGTGTTTTTATAAGTAAGTGTCGTAACGCTGCTCCGAGAATATGTCTTTCAAAAATATGTCCTGGGGTCACATGTGTTTGAAAATTGCTGTGTACTTTGTCATGTTCTTGAATATTAGTGAGTTAGGGTTCTGACAAGTCCTGAATTAAGAAACTACTTTACCAGATAATTTACTTTTTTATGGGAGAGGGGTAATATGTTGGTAGTTCCCTAGAACTCTATGAAGGAATCTTTAGTTGAACTTTCTGGGAATCTTGGCTGCAGTTACACACCTTCCTTTATCTTCAATATCAGCTGCTATGTGGGTAGAGATAAGTAGGTCAGGATCTTGGTCTTTCAGGCACAAAAGATCAAACAGGCCAGAGAGAAAAATCAATGTTACAAGGGATGGCAATTTTAGACTAAAGGTTTTTTTTCTCAGTTATAATGGGCCTGAGTGTTGAGAAGCAAGTAGGTCTGCTCAGAGCGAGGGCAGTGATGAGGTTGGGGAGGGTACCACAGGCGAAGTGCCATTTGAGCCCAGCGCTGAGGGGTGTTGACATAATTCACCAGGCAGAGAAGACGTGAGAGGATGTTCCAGGCAGAAGGAAGGACATGGCATAGAAGCATCAAATACCCAGATGTATTCTAGTCTTGTGGAACAATTGTATGGTTCTGGAGCCAAGGAGTGGCGGCTGCCTGGGCAGAAAGGAGCAGGAGGAAGTTCTGGGAGATGGGTAGGGGTCTGCTGGCCGTGTGTTTTCAGTGGCACTCTAAGGAATCTGAAATTTCTTTAGTAGCTAACAGGAAAGCATCCTTAGCTTGGTTTCTAATCAGGGAAATTAAATGATCAATAAGTATTTTACAAAGAGAATTATGGAAAGAAAAAGAAAAAATTCTCGAGTGTCGAGAGAGCATTCTAGAGTGCTAGGGCAAATAGGATGGGAGAAGAAACTGTCAGGGAAACTACCTGTGATATTGTTGAAATGGTTCACGAAAGAGATGGTAAAAGGCTGAATAATGACAGTGGTAAAAGAATGAGATGGAGGAAACAGATTTGAAGAAAATTTAGAAGCTCAACAGTTTGTGTGAAGTTATTGGATATGAGACAAGAAAGAAGAAGGAATGCAAAATGACTCTATGGTATTTAGCTTGGGCAAATGTGTCTCATCAAACTTACGGGACAGGAATTTAGGGGAGTGAACTATTCCATATAGATTTTGAATTGGACTGGAGGGGAGGGTGTCTATTACCTGGAGTACTCTTCCTGTAAAAACACATCCATTGATTTTTGTGTTTCAGAGTTCAATAATGATTTAAACTAAAGACTAGTTTTTTGTTTTGTTTTTTAAGGAGATTCAGCATCTCCAAAAAAAAAAACCTATTCCAAACTGAAATTTGGTAGGCACTCAGTTCATACTTGTCAACAAAACAGCATTTTAATCTATATATTTCTTTAGATAAATAAAAACCAAATCCATTTGGGTTTTCATTCAGTCAAAAACACTCTCTTCTTTTAGCCATGGATAATCCTATATATACTGATATCTCAGTAGAAATTTCAAAAGGATTTCCATTTTCTAGGAGGAAACAGCACAGAACACCGATAATGTTAGTGATTTAAATATTAAGCAATTATTTTTTGAATTAATTCTAAATTTGACCTTCACACTTAATGTTATTGCTGCTAATACGTTTAAAACATGTTTATAGTCAAATAGTGGAATTGTTTCAAAAGCATCTTTGTATGTCAGTAAAAATTAGAAAAATATTTTTTTAACTCTTCAAATTTTTTAGAAGTTCATGCTTGCTTAATGTATAGAGTGTAACAAAAATTTTAAATAATAATTTTTTGTTCAGAAACCTTTTGAAGTACAGAGTTCTTTTATTTCAGGGTGGGAGGGGACCTTTCTTTTTGAGGCAGGATGTGGAGACTACTATGATCCAAACTGTTTACACAAAAGTAGTCCACACCTCCCTAATTAGGTCAGAGAACTTTGCCTTTACCTGAAACAGCTGCCTTCTATTAGTACTGGAAACAAACTGTACAATCTTTGGTCATTGAACTATGACCACCTTCTCATTTTGAATTTTTTTTTTTGTCCAAGAGACCAGGAATCCAGAAACTTAGTTGGTGGTGAGGAGCTTTGCTAGACATAAAACTTATCAGAGGAAGGGAAGATAGTGTCCACCTTAAAAACAAACTGAACTATCAAAATGGCTACACATTGTAAAATGAAGCAGTAAGGGTAGTCAGAGAAGGATTCCTGACAATTTCCCCCCCTTTTACATGGTAATGAAACAAAGATAAAAACAGAATGTCCTTATGATAAGCAGGGCAGCCTCTCCCTCCCCACTTTCCCCAACTGCACTGCATTTAAGGAAGCTCCGTGAACTTGTTTTGAAATAAATTTAGCTTTGAAAGGCAGGTACATGTAATGGTTGTTACCATTATTCTGGAGTTAAGGATAAAAGGTTGCTATGTCTAAGCCTTGACTTAGCAGATTTCTAAATGTATTTTATTGCATCTGAAAGAAATTTTGCATTCTTGAGAAAATGCAATGCAAAAATGAGTTGAGACACAATGTCCCTTTATCTCAGAGCAAGGCAACCTTAATTCCGTATAGTTGAAATAGAGGGCAGGCAAGTCCGGTTGTGGTTTCTGAAATCTAACAACCTAGTATCACTGTGCCATTCTCTCTGGGGTTCAGTGCCACTCCCTTAACTTGATATCTGTTTACTTTAGAGGAGGCAGTTTTTGAGAAAGGATCATAAATATCTTGGCCCGCTGCCCCAGAGCCATGACAAGCAAAAGAACATACTCGCCTAAAGATAGCCCTTGAGATATTTAAATGTGTGGGTTAATTTTTTATCCACTTTAATAACTAGATTACCCCTCACCCCCCACCCCACTTCTTTGCTTTCTATTTCTGCTCTGAAGCTGTGGGCACAGAAATCTCTGCAGGCAAATTACTCCAGAGCATATTGCAGGACAATCCTGTAGCGAACAGCTAAATTCACAGCATCTGATTCCTGATCCTTTTCCGACATGGCAGGTGTGAGTGGCTGTATAAAATATTCCATGTTTGTCTTCAACTTCTTGTTCTGGGTAAGTGTTTTTCTTTTAATTATAAATTTTATGCAAGAAAGAGTATCTTGATATAAATATCATAAACGAGAGCAGACTCTGCACTAGAGAAATAGGAGGAGGAGGAGAATGTATTTTCCATTTACTTGTTTGGATTTGTTTGTTTTTTCTTTGGTTATTTCGGTAATAGAAAAAGAGCCAATGACTGGGAAAAGTGCACCTCAGGATCTGTGAGGATAAACATTTTATAAATGTTTTGATATTGTTGCGAAACAATCACAGAGAAAAAAATACCCCTTAATTAAAGGACAATTATTCTTAGTTGTATATCATTCAGGCCTCCCCAGGTTTAGGACCCTGATCTGATCTGATTCCATCCTGACGGAGACCAAGCCCCTGAATCCTAGCTTTTACCTCTGGGGTTGAAACAGGTGGATGGTGGGATGTCAGCAGATACAGACCGGAGAAGAGGATTATGTTCAGAGACCCAAAGAAAAAACAATGGGTCATAAAGAACTTGAGAGGGAAACAATGAAAGTATTTAGCGTGAAAAGATTAAACTAAGCCACTCGGTTTGTTTCAACAGTTTAGAATCGGGATTCTGGTGTGTCATCACCCCACCTTTTAATCAACAGGTTTTCGGTTTTAGCAAGGTCTTATGCTTCCCTTAAAAGTTTGTTGACATAAGACAGCAAATAAGTAGATAAATGGACCCTAACATTGGAAAATGGAAAAATAAGATATGGAAAGGCAATAAGATAAAGGGCAGGCAGGGATGTTAGAAAACTGACATTAGTATTTGTACGATATATGGTACAATTTTAGATTGTTCAAAAGAAAACATCATTTTGTATACTGATTTAAAAACTGGCTTAAGCAGTATAAGCAGGAGAGAGTTGTGGTTTTGCTTCTTACCTGGTTACCTTTAGTAAATTGGCAGTGGCATTTAAATGTTGGTAAATTTCTGTTCTAATAAAATAATGATGTGCTTAATCAACAATAACTACAAGAATACGGTCTATTGTATAGAACGACTTTCCATTCAATGTCCAGAAGCCCTAATGAGTATAGATGATATGTAGGTGAAGTGAGTACATAAATAGATAAAATAAAACAAAGAAGGTTTGTCCTTTGTACCTCCTCTCTTCTCCAGAGAAATGGGCCGCCTTGCAGATCGGAAGTGGAGCTCCTGAAAAATGCCAGTTTTTTAAGTTAGTCCTGATACATTCTTTCCTCCGAATACTTAAAGTTGGTTAAACATTGAGAGTAGAATATAAACAAAGAAATGCCTGTGTACTTTGGTTGGTTTGTTTTTAGCTTTTTATTATGGAGAACTTTAAACATTCACAAACTAGGACAGGGTACTCGATGCCATAATCCAGCTCTGATAGCCATGAAACCACGGCCAGTCTTCCCTGTTCATAGTCGCATCTACCTTCCCACCCCATATTATTTTGAAGCAAATCTCGGATATATCATCTCATCTGCAAGTATTTTAGTGTATATCTCTAAAAGATACATTTTTTAGAGATACACACTAAATCTTTTAGAGTGTACACACTAAATCTCTAAATCTTTTAGAGATACACACTATTTTTAAAAATGTAACCACAATGTTCTTATCATACTAAAAACTTATTAAGAATTTCTTAATTGATTATCAAATATCCATCCAGGTTCAAATTCCCCATTGCCTCATAAATATCCCTGTTTGAATCAGAATCCAAATAAGGCCCATACAGTGTGTGCACACACTGATACATCTTTTACATCAACTTTCATCTTTAGGTTATCCCTCCATCTTTATCTCTTTTTTCTCTTACGTGAAATTGTATGTACTAGTGTGTGTTGTCTTGTCCACAGTTTTCACCATCTATTTTCATACCCATGGTGTATGTAGTTTAACATATTCCCCATCATCTGTATTTTATCTGATTCAGTAGTCATATCTGGCAGCTTGAACAGATTCAGATTATTGCTTTTGGCAGATACAATTACTTTATAAGTAATACTGTGTTCTTTCACTAGGAGTCACCTGTCTGGTGATGTCACTTTTTATGATGTTAGTAGCCAATGATGCTGAAGAACCTAAATCCTTACTTCCTTAAGAGTTCCAAATGACTTTCAACAATAAAAAAAATAAAATTCAATCAATTAAAAAAAAAAGTTTCAAATGCCTGATATTACATTTCTATTATTTTTCTTGTATTTATTAGCTACAATACTTTCAATAAAGAGAAATGCATTATTAATTGATTGGTTGCCAGTGGTACCCAGTAAATGTTTCTTACTCTTTACCTAACAGATTTCAAAGTGAAGAGTTAATTTTTTAGTATCATACAACAAGTGAAAAGCAAGTATTTCTCTAAATAGCTTATGAAATAATAAATTTAAATGTCATCAGAGTTTTCAGCCTCATTGATGTGCCGTTTATTCCATCTCGGGCCAGTGGGAGCATCATGAGTTGGTTCTTGTGTTCATTTGACATGGTCCTAACTTCTTCACTATTTAGCATGACAAGATGTTTCAGGCAAATTTCCCTATTTTTTGCCCCAGCCTAGACTCAGCTATTTCTCCAAGAAGTACTGATACCAGTTTTTTTTTAAAAAACTCTAACCATTGTCTTTTCATGATACAGAATATGTGTGGCCAATTTAAACAAACTAAAATATGAACATGCCAATAAATGCATGGCTCATATTTTAATAATATGTCCCAAAGTACCCAAACCAGTAGCAATCCTCATTAGGAAATTATAAAACACTTGAAATATATCTCTTTTGTAAAAATGCGGAATACAAAATACTGTATTCAATACTGTATACTCAAAGGTCAGTATTTCATTAAATAGGTAACCCAGAATTTGAAATCGATCTGAATTTTAAACCACTATTGTATAGACAGTCTAAGAAAGGGGTATGTTATAGGTTCAGGAGTATATATTTAAGATTAGAGTTCAAAGTGAGTTGTAGATATATGTACCATGTTTTTCCTTGACCATTGGTTTCCATTGGTTGACCATTATTTGCTTTGTTTTCCTGATAATGAAAACAAACTCTGATGCTGCAGATTTCAGTTAGACATTTCTAACTTCCCTGGGCTAAAAGCCTTGTTCTTACCATTAGCGTAGTGGTGGGATCTACAATCTCTGTATGAGCATCTTGAAATGGAATCTTTGGGTGAGAGCTACAGTTGTAAAGACCAATGATAAGTTCTCAGCCAACAGGCAACATCTCTTCATTCCAAACCTAGACAGCAGGAGCAGTCTCTGAGGTCAGGGAGCCACTCTTATTTCTACTCTTTACCCACAGCACGGAGTTCTCAGTTGGAATTTTACAGTCCTTCATAGGAAATTAGCAATTTGTCACATTCCTAATGTTTACTTACACAACATTTTAACAGTCCCATTGATGTGGTTTTCTTGTAGATATCCAGGCCCTCATGTTTTTAAATGCATTCTTTCCGGTATAACTTGTGAAACTAAGCCGTTGCAAAGTAGGGCCAGATGTTGAAATATCTGTAAGATATGCATATGGTCACTAAGTTACACATACCAGTTTCTTTTGTGAGAGAATTTAAGATGTGAGAGAATTTAAGATGTACCACGTAAATATGCAGTCATTTCCATTTGTTAAATTAGCAATTGAAGACAAACACGTGGAAGTGAAGATGACTTCTAATCACTCATGCTGGAGGTTGATGGGAACTAGAGTTAATTGGAGATGCTGTAGAAAAGAGAAAGATTATAGGTACAAACCCTATTTCTCTGAGTCTTGTGTCAAAGCAGATGAACTGCCCACATTTTCTTATGCTCCTCTCAGGTCAATCAGGCTTGGGAATATTGTAGAGTAGGTGCCTGGGGTGTCTTAGGAGTCCGGATAAGCACGGAATAAAGGGCCTCGGGCCAGTGGGCGCAGCGGAGACCTATGGAGAGGCCCGTTTTTAGGAAGGAAAGCAGTGAAGGGGTATTACCAATGGCAAATGAGGTGAGGTGAGAAGGAGGGGCCAAGGTGTAGCACCAAATGGATCAGCGAGTGAAAGGAGCCCATTCATGAAGCAGTTTGAAGAGAGCAGTAGGAAGTCAGAATTTGGAGAGTGTCCAGACACCAGCGTTTTGATGTTCATCATTGTATTTTATGTGGTGCCTGGGTCCCTTGATTAGAGATTCTGAGAGCAATTAAAAGAGTTGATGCAGAGCAGACATAACTAGGAGATAGGGCTACATTAAAAATAGGGCACACTTATATTTCATCCTGTCAGCCGATGAAATCCCTCAAGATAAAGATTCGAGGATGGCAGAAATGTGAGCTTTGGAAACAGCGATTGCCTTCCGCTGTGCATCAGTTGGAACTAGAACAGTGACAAAAGGCATCGGAGCCCAGTGGTTGAGAGCTCAAGCTAACCGCAGCTCCTTCGTCGCCAGCTTGTGACCTCGGCGAGATTAGTCAGCATGTCTGGGCCTCAGTGTTCCTCATCTGTAAAACTGGGGTTGTTGTGAAGATTAAGTGATCCAATTCCTGTAAAGAACTCAGAGTAACACTGAATCAATGTTTAAGGAGCAGACAGTACAGCCAACATTGAGCAGGCATTTTTATGAGACAAAAATATAAAACCACTGTATAGTGATGAATAATTCCAATGTTGGATTTTCAAACAGAGAGGGAAATAAGATGTCAAGAGTTATGATAAGGCATACATTTCATCATAAATTGAAAAAAAGAAAAGTATATTTTGTAAACTGACAGATTCAAATCCTGAGTTCACTCCGTGTTGCTCTGTGGCCTGGAACATGTTCCCTGACTTTTCTGTGCCTCAGTCTCTGCAGTTGTAAAATGCGGGCGATAGTTTCGCGAAGCAGGATTACTTGTGAAGATTCACTGAGATGCTTTATGAAAGCCTGTAACCAAGGGTTGACGTACAGTAATAGTTCAGATTAGTGCTATTTCCCCCAAGTCCAGCCATCATACTGCTTTTTAATGCTAAAGTATTGCATTCTGGTGTGATAGTATTTCATACATGAT